AGCCCTTCAGCAGTAGGTAGAGTATGGGATGGGGGATGATGTGATGCAGACCTACTCCATCCCATGTGTTTTTGCTTGGGGTTGGAGAGCAAGTTGCTGCTGGTCATCTCCTCACAGATCTTGCCCTTGGCCTGCTCATGGAGCCTGTTCCCCTCATGCACCCTATGCATCTTGGCCCCACCTCAGGCCACCATCACGCACAGGTCCATTAGGCCATCGCCACCCGGAGTGGCAGCCCCACCCAGCACAAAGAAGGTAAAGCGGCCAGCTAGCAAGCTTGAGTAGAGGTGGTAGAGCACACCCACACCCAGCAAGCCAAAGGCCACCCTGAGCAGGGAAAGCCGGATCCCTATTGGCGCCATGGCCCCCAGTCCCACTAGGATTGCATGCCTCCCCCCATCTCTGCTGGCCCTGGGCATGCTCTACCACTTCTATGCAGGGCTTCCTAGCCAACCACTTTGCCTCCTTCGTTCTGGGCGGGCCTGCAGCTCTGGGCAGTGACCTAATGGACCTGCGTGAGCAGCTGGTGGCCACGATAGGTGAGAAATGCACTCCACCTGTGGGCCAAGGGCAAGACCCTCGAGGGAGCTGAGGAGATGGGACGGAGTAGGCGTGTTTAGCAGTCCACATAACGTGCTCTCCTAACTACGTGTGTTACCAGTGCTGCTGCAGCACTGCTGCTGGAGGGCCAGCCTAGTATTCACACAGGCTACACAACCCTTTGTGTTGGATGCTTTTGGCCCCCAAGCAATCACCGCGGGTGGAGCGCTTTCCCCTCATGCAACCTTGGTACCTATCGTGGCTGCCAGCCATTCATGCAGGTCCATTAGGCCAGGTGGTAGAGCACACCCTGGGCCAAAAGGCAAAAGGCCACCCTGACTGGGAAAGCCAGATCCCTATCAGCATCATGGCTGCCCAGGTCCAGCAGAGATGGGGGAGAAGCCATGCAATCCTAACTGGGACTGGGGGGCCATGGCACCAGTGGGAATCTGGCTTTCCCTGCTCAGGGTGGCCTTTGGCTTGCTGGGTATGGGCGTGCTCTACTACCCCGAGCTTGCTACCTGGCTGCTTTGCTTCCTTTGTGCTGGGCAGGGCTGTGGCTCCAGGTGGCAGTGGTGGCCTAATGGACCTGCACAAGCTGTTGGCGGCGGTGGCATGTGGGGCTCTGAGTGCTGCCTCTGGCATGCATACCATAGGTTCACCACCACTGATATAGATGCACATACATCAGGTTCAAACAGTTTCACCTACCATCCCACTACAGTGCAGGGAGAAAAGTCATGTCTACATGGCTTGGTGGAAGGCCAATAGGTCTGAGGCCATCTGAATCTTAAACCTGATTTCAAAAGGTGGGCATAGCAACAGAGATACTTACCTTTGTCTCATTATTTATTTTTAGAAAGGAAATCTGCAATTGGATGGGCAGAAGTGACAAGGTAGAGGTAGTCCCATAAATGAGAGTTATCTTGTGCCATTTCACCCAGAAACAGGGAGCTAATGCAGCTCTCAAAGTAGTAATATTACTTGGGCAAGGTGCACAAATCTGAGCTCCTGTATTTTGGACCAGCTGCTACTTTTGGCTCCAAATTTGTGTGTGCGTGTGTATATGTGTGTGTGTGATCTTCCAAAGGTGGAATATCTCCAGAACTGGATCTGGGGAGGAGATATAGAGATGAGCAAAACCCACAGCCACTTGGTCTTTCTAATCCTAGTAAGATTTCTAGGGTTGTACCAAGAACCCCAACAGCCTTCAGATACTGTAACAGAACCAACATAACATCACTTAGTCATCCAAGTACTGAGGTTCATTACTACATTATACTTAAACTTATGTTCACCTATATCTTCATGTTGATTTTAAAGAAAAACAGGGAGCAAATGGATCATTTAGGCACTATGCAAAGTGGGGCCTAAAGCTAGACCTTTTTCTGTCTACCAACACCAACTTGAAATAACTCTGGAAAAAGGAAAACAACTACAACACCATCCATTCTAGCCCTAGTTATAGTTCCAGAAAGATATCTATCAATGGTATTGAAGGTCACTGACAGATTAAGGACCAGGTAGTTTGCGCTTCCCCTATCCCAGCTCTGTCATATATCATTTAATAGAATCTCGGTATGTTTCAACCTGAAACTGACTGAAAAAGATTCATAAAGTTTATTTCCTCCAGATCCTTCAAAACTGCAGCTAAATGGTGCTCACAACAACCTTCACTAGGAAGGAAAAATTGGACAAAAATTATCTAGCTCTATTGGATTCAGTAATAGCTTCTTGAACAATTGCTTCCTTCAAAACTGACAGTCATTCTTTTTGTCAAAGACACTTTCACCCAAACATGTATCGGATCATATTCACTTCCCAGGAGCTCTTAATCAACCAGGAAGAGCACAGGTCTAAAATGTAGGTGAATTAATTAAAAGTCTCCAGGACCCTATCATCTTAATAGGCTTAAACTCTTCAAGCCCTTGCCTTAGTTGACCCAATAGGTCCTGTGTAAATTTTATCTGACAAATGCTGAGAATAATCTTTACAGCTGCCTTGCAGGTCCCTCAATTCCAGGTCCTTCTTTCTTGAGAGGTATCTGGTCACATTGTAAGCTGACAATTTATGGATGACAATCTTAAAATGGCAATTTATGATGACAGAAGAAGGCTCTCCATATTGTTCAGTCAATCCTATATATAATGAATGTTTTGTACTTTTTTGATGCAGTAATGTGATTGTGCAGATTAATATAAATCGTGATTAATATATGCACATTAAACATACTTTTTGACTTGCACTTCACTGCCTTGAGTTTGATCATTAGTTGTTGATATAATGACAACTGTACCCTAAGAAACTCTGACTCTCAGCTCCTAAAGTTTCACAAATACTCAGCAGCAGTTTGCATCACCTTCTAAGGCCAGTGCACAGTATGATAATTGATGATGTACTGTCAGTTTCTTTAATTAGCACCAAGTATGATATTAAAGGGATTGAGAGTTTAGGTTTATGGAGTCTTATTTTTTAAAAAGAAAAAAAAAACTCTTAAAATTTGAAATTTGCTAATCAGACTCAAGTGCTAAGTAGTTGGAGGAAGGTTGTAGCAGTACAGTCAGTCACCTATTGCACCTCATCATGAATCACATATTCTATATTAAAAAATACAAACCTATATCTTAGTAACTAAAGATCAAAGTAGCCAAGGGAATATATTTACTCAAAGGAATGAATTAATCATTATATTGAAGCTAAAAGACAAGCAATTATCAGAATGGTAGCTATGGCAGAGATGCTTCTAAATTTTTTAACATCTCATTTAATTTAAAATACTGAAAGTTGGAAAAGATTGGTGATCTGCCAATCATTCATAGATATACCAAACTCATAGAATCACAGGATTGGAAGAGACCATAGAGATGATTATCCAATTTACTCTTTAAATAAGATCAAGATAATTTGCTTTGTAATCCAGTCTAAGATTAAGAACTGCTACTCTATATCTTTTAAGTCTTGCATAATTTGAATCTTGTTCTTTTCCCCCAATTTCCAATTGGTGCTATTTGGAATAAAATGTTTATCTTAATAATACATTTCTATCTTTCAAGAGCTTGTTTATTTCATTCCATAATTTCTTATAATTGTTTTCAAATATATTATTATTATATCCTATTAAATAAGAGTTCCAGATATTTCACTATATTTTTTTCTCATATCCCAATTTCCTTTTTCATGAAGTCTTTTTCTTTGGAAATTGAATGCCTTGTTATTATCTTATTTTTCATTTAATTTTGTATCTGAAAAGGTAGCCCAAAATTTTGGGGTTCTACCATTAGTATCACATTTATTTATCTTTTCAGTTCTTGCCTGCCAGGACCCCCTAAGCAATTATAAATAATAAAAGAGAAAATGGACAACCTTGCCTTGTAACTTTACATATTGAGAAGATTGTAGAGAGCATTCCATTTGCTGTGAATTCTAACTTGACAAAAGCTTTGTCTGTATCTTAAAATATTTCTGTTGCCTTCATTTTCTTATTATTAATATATTCTATTAATAATACATATTCTAATACAATCTGCCATCATCTTGCTCTTTGTAATGTAATCCATCTGGTCTGTAGATATAATTTCAGGAATGCATTTCTCAGTTTGGCTAACTAGTTTACATGAGTGAGATTGCTTTGTATCATCTAGTTTTTCTGATGTCTTGGTATTGTATTTCTTGTTTGAATTTAATTCATTGTCTTTAATAATGGTTTTGCAAATTCCTCCTCTACATTTTGTAATATTAGGCTATTACCATTGGGTTTGGTGCCTTTCTAGTTCTAAGTTTCTTTTTTTTTAAAACAAATTTTATTGGTTTTTTAAGTTCTTAAAGCAACATATTCAGAACACACCGTGGTGATGGGGTAATCAAACATCTTAAAACAAGACATCTATACATAATATAATCAATATGTCAAATATTCCCTCTATTTTTCCCTCAAATAGCATAGTATATTTAGAATATCCAATTCTAGCTTAAATTTATTCAACCTGAACTTGTTTTTAAGCTTCATCAATTTCTATCATAATCAAATTAACTTTAAATAAAAACATTTTCAATTCAAATATCCCTTCTACATATGTTCTACTTTCTTAATTTTATCAAAATCTTATTTGTTTCTTCTTCCATTACTCTCCCTTATTAGAGTAAAATATTAATCTATCCTGTACCTATCAAATCTATCAATTGATCTATCTCTTCAAGCTAAAAAAATAATACCATACCTTAAATCATGTCATTCTATTAAACAAAATTCAAATCTCCAATTAATTATCATGACTAATAACGTCCATATCATCAGAAAATCATATCATCTTATTAAATTTCAATTAACTATTAGTTCACTTCAAATTTGAAACATCTCTTCAATTTTCGTCATTCCGTTACATCATAATTTTCATAGAAATAAACATTCTAAAAGGAACATTTCTAATATTCTAAATTGTCCTTAGTCCCTTATATAGAAGGATATCTTGTTTTTAAACAAAAATATTAATCTATCCTAGACACATCTAAATGTATGTATTTATCAAACTATTCTATAGATATCTAATCCTTCACTTAATCAATCTCTTTGAATTAACAGATTAATATCAAATCTTAAATCATTTCACTCCTTTAAGTAAAGTTTAAATTTCACATGTTATAGGATAAACAAGTCGTCTTATTTAATTAACATTCAATTAATTATTGATTCACTCCAACTCTAAGACATCTTTTTACTTCAAACTCAAAATCTCAGTCCTTACATCAGTCCTAGGTCACCTTTAATCCAATTTAAGAAATTTTAAATTTCATTTTTTAATCTTATTCTAGCTTTCCACTTTTGCCAGGTAGGTTTCCATAACAGGGCTTCCCTTCCAGACAATAGGTCTCTTTTTGTTGCTTGTAGTGTCACTTGATTCGATACCGACCATCTTGATCTCTGATTTAATTCTCTGTTTCTCTTGTCCATAAAGCCTCGTTGCTTCAGAAGTCCAAAGTTCGGTCTTTGGTTTTCCTGGTCTTGCTTGTAAGGCAAAATAAGATTCTCCTTATCCTCAGTTAAAACCTTTTCTTGTATAATCTGTTTTGTAGAGTAGTCAAGGGTAGTCTGGGAGTCAGTTTTAAGTTTTAAAGTAAAGATTCTGGCTCTTAGTTCTGTAGTAGCCTCTTTTATTGTAGTACATAATTCTTCTTTAGCCTCATAGATCTTTTCCAATATAAGTTTACAGTTTAAGTGTGACTGGGGCTTCTCCATTTTAGCAATAGTTGAAGAAGAGTCCTTTTTCTTTTTAGTGAAGGTTACAGTTGAACATTATCCACCCCCACAGATCACACAGCTAGCTCAAATTATCTTTTTTCTTGAAAAACAGTTTGAAGGCCAAAGCTCTCTCATCTCCAAATAAACAACAATCCAATATTAACTTTTGACCAGTAGGTGTCCTCAGTGAACTAAAAAAACTTCAAACTCTTTTTTCTATCTTTTAAAGGGAGAATAGAAAAAGAAATACTCTGCCGATATAATACCGCTCCAAAAAATAGTTTTTTCTACAGCACAGTATAAGTAGGAATAGAGTATAGTCTTTAAATGAATATTTATTTGTTTTTTCTATCCTTTTTGTAAAACGCATTTGTTCCCATGATTACTAAAGCTGCTTTCGTCAAACGGGAAAATGATAGCACAAACAGCTTCTATAGGCAAAAACAGCAGGGGTATGGAGAGGAACAAAAGGGATCTCACCCGGATCATCCACAGTGGGTTGTTAACGCTTAGATGATGATGTGACTTTCGGCTGGTGCAGCAGGGTTATCGGCCATCTTACAGGCCGATTTTTGCTCCGTTGGCCCTAAGGAGAAGCTGGAGATTTGGGGGAAGCTGCCACCCTCCCCTATCTACCAGCCAGCCTCCTCCTCAGTGGTCACCCCTCCAGGGTGACTTTTGACCCCTAGGGGGTCTACCGGTGAAGGAAATTCCAGACAGCCTGGAGAGAAGTTTCCAGGCACGACTGGCATCACCATGTTCCGGAACTGGAAGTCTCGTTCTAAGTTTCTTTATTGCTTCTTTGAACTTCCGAAACAGGCAATTGATTGCTTTAATGAGATAATTAATTATTAATTAATAGATAATTATAATTATTAATTAATAGGTAATTATTAATAATTAATGAGATAATGAATAATTATAAGAAGGTATGATATAGTAGCTATTTTTTCTGTTTCTTTTTTTCTTTTGGCATAGTTTCTCTCTCTCTCTTTCTCTCTCTCTCTCACACACACACACACACACACACACAGGCTAAATAAAACTTTTTTTCTTTATAAAGATTATAAAATGTCCAAATCCAAATTGTGCACATAATAATAAATAAAACAATAACAAAGAAACAATATGTGTACAGAAAGACCATGTAAAAGAGAACCAAACAATATTTTACAGGCTCTTCACCCACTTTATCCAAGGCCTGGGAAAACAAACAAGTTTTCAATGTCTTACAGAACATTATCATTCTGATCTCTTGGGCAATGCTGTTCCTGAGGTCAAGTGCCATGACAGAGAAAGTATACTCCCCAGGTCAAAATAGATTATTTAAAATGCATAATTTACTTCTGTTATACTGATGGCTTATCAAGAAACTCCATTGGATTGAAAAGAAGTTCCACAGGAATCTCATTTTAAAAAACTCCAAGTGAGCTCTGACTAATTTCTGATAGTCTCCTTCCAGTTCTTTCCAGAGCTATTCCTATAAAGTTCCTTGTTCCTTTTACAGTAACAGGAAGAACAGTCAACTAACCCAAACCATCACACCTCATGCAGCATGAAATGCAGCATGTCAGGTGAGATATGATCCTAAACACTACCAGAATCATTCTGGAAGAACATTAGATGTATGGGAAACACTTTATTGCTATCAATGGTTGTCAGGATTTTTGCCACCTGGGCTTCATAGGCCTAGTGCAGGGGTAGTCAACTTTGGCTCTTTTATGACTCGTGGACTTAGCTGGCTCAGGAATTCTGGGAGTTGAAGTCTACGAGTCATAAAAGAGCCAAGGTTGACTACCCCTGGCCTAGTGAGAAGTTCATCCTGCTTCTTTTAATAATAACTGCCTCCTCTATTTTGAAGCAATTGAAGATTTATTTTCTATTTCTTTCTCTGTTCATATACAGTTACAGGTTTTATATTAGCCACAGAGATCATTTAGCTTTGATAACAAGGCTTAAATCCAATAGTTTCCCCCAAAAGAGAAACGGATCCGTTATGCTTAACATAAGATTAAACATTACTGAAGTAGCAAATAAATTACTCATTGACTTTGCTATAATTATATTATATTATTATTTCTTATACTGATATAAGAGAGCTAATAGTGTACTGGAAGAACAGATATTGTGGTTTGAGTTTGCCTTCCCAATTGATGCAATAATACTAATTAATAATAAATCTTTGATTATAAAAACAGATCCTTTCAATTTCAAAAGTACAATTTTAAAAAATCTACTTTCTCAACCAATCATATGTGTCAATTTTTGGATGAATCCTGATCTGTTTGCCTGGGTAGTCATTTATTACTTGATGTCATTGTTAATATTATATTTAGGAAAGTTTTTGCATGCATCCAACACTCTTCCCTAATAGGTTGTTTATTTTTAATAATTTATGTAATATTACCAGTTATTTCTAGGGTATGAAATGTGCAGTTCTAATATTGTAGTTAGCCTCAGTTATATGAATTCTGCTCCTTGGTCTTTCTGAAAACTTTACTCATCATTGCTTTTGTTGATTGGCAGTGCTACTTTGAAAATGCTACACCATTGTGCTATTTATATATTTGGCAGGCATAAATCTACAAAGGCAGATCATTCAATTCATTCTTCATTAAAATAAACGATTTACTTTAAGTAGAATAGTAAGACAAGTGGTGGTGTATAATTTTAATAGTACATTTATTAAAAATACAATTTAAAAACATACAAACTAAAAGAAGAAAAATTAGAAAGTGCAGAAAAGAGAAAATAGAAAGAAAATTAGGAAAGAAAGAAAACATAAGAATATGGTAAAGAAAAAGAAGAAAAATATATAAAGAAATGACTTCATCACAATAAGTATAAACGACTTATCGCCTTCTCTTAAAATATAACAAATAAAAAGAACACATATCTCATCTGTTATCTATAAACAAATCCTTAAAACCTCATTGTCCTGATCAGCAAAAGTACATTAAGGGTTACCAGACAAAACAACATATCTATTTTAATCTTGATCAAATAAACCAACTTTATATACCTTCCTTTTACTTTAACAATATTAATTCTTTTTCCATGTCCAGGTCAAACTTTAAACTGCCAGCATGATGTTGATCATCAGTCTCTTCAAATTATGTCCCAGAACTTGATTTCTTTTCACTTATTCTTTCCTATCTCACAAAATTCTTCAAGGTTTTAACAAATCTCTTTTGAAAATTCACTCTAGGAAAGTTATTCGGGTCATTATTTTGGTTTGTTATTTGCATATCACTTTTAATTATTAAGATACCAGTTGGTTTTAAATGTATGTCCAATATAGTATATTTTTTCTAAATCGTTCTTGTAGTCTGTCGTTTTTATACTTTCACATTAGTGTCAGTCTTGTCCAATAAAATTAGTTCTTTTTCCCTAACATGGCTAAGATAGCTATTCCCATGTGTAGCAAATATATGAAATACTTGTGGGTGATCTCAAGTCCTTTCCTTGTCTGGAGAGGAATTACAAAGAGCCAGTCTATTATCCAATTCTTCATTCTGCCAGTCATTGATCCTGCTTTTAGCAGAGTCATTTTCAGTTTGCCATTTCAGTTCCAGAAATACAAACAGTTTTGTATTATGAATGCTAGATCATTGCATCACCCAGTGTACTTTGCAGTTTATACCAAACAAAGATTATTACCTTTTTGTTCTGTTTTGTCATACATTGTAGCTTTTCATTTATATAGTTTGCTAATAAGTCAGTTAAAGTATCAGTTATGATGATGGCTATGGAAAACATTTTAGATACATTTATCAGCATTAATGTTGTAGTGCTGCTGAAGATTCAGAGCACATTAATTAGATATATCCTAGAGCTATTTTAAATTTTATTAGACTATGAATGAATAATTCTGTGTATTTAGACAGTGTCTGTGATAGGGTGTTCTACATTCAAAATGATAGATGTTAATTTCTACTGAAGTTTATCTAAAGTTAAAATATCTAATTCATCTCTCTAAAGAATAAATTAATAACTTCATTACCATCAAGGGTCACTGTGAAATTCTATTCTGAAGCTTACCTCAATTGTATGATTATGTAAAAAGCAGCACTGATGGGAAAGAAAGGCAGGGATCAAAACATACAGGATGGTGAACATGATGGTACAAGCCTGCCGCTTTTATATATGCATGCAAAGATGTGACAGAGTCACAAAACTGAAAGATGTCATATGGACAATCAAGTTCAAACTTCTCAAATCCTGCCATGTGTCACCAGTTTTTATCACTGCTGATTACATGTTTCTGAACCTTAATTCTACCCTCTAATTTTGTCTAATATCCTACCAAAATCATGACCAGCAGGATTAATCTTTATCTGCCTAGGAAATAATGCAACCGTCCCCCAATTTTATATTAACCATTGAAATAGGATTTTTCTTTTTTGTTTCCAATTATTTTCTGGAGATAAACTTAAAACCTAGAGGGTAAGTTTATGACATATATTGCTTTCATAATCAATTTAAATAAAGACACACAGTGCTTTCTTCCATTTTATAAGTTATTTTATTTATTCAGTAGCTGCTCTCCCAACTAATAAATTTGGGTGGCTTACAATTCTAAAACTAGACAATTCTGAAACTTTAGCTCTATACTTCTCTCCTTTTTATGTTTTTATGAGACTGATTAATCTCATATCTCACAAGATTTTCTCACTCTAAATCTCACAGTGACTGAAATGAACAATCATCATGAGATTTCTCTCTTTCTCATTTTTAGGAAAGATTCCTGATCCCAGTCTTCTTTAGGTTGATGGTGGTCTGCAGACTCACTTTGTGCTATCCATGGGTAAGGACAGCTATCTTAAAAATGACAAGTTATTTTAAATCAGGAATATAAAATTTTTGAACTGCAACATTTACTATAACAAATGAATGATACAAGGCAAAAAAGTAGGCAGGGCCAGGAGGAAAAAAAAGTAAAAGTGATTTAAGTATAAATAAATTCAAATGTAATTAATTGAAACAGGAGTTCTGATTGCTAACTATGTCACATTAACATTGATAATTTGCCAGGACACATTCAGTGGCAATGGTAATCACATTTTGTCCTACAACCACAGATTTTGCATTCTTGGTCAAGAGACTCAGGCACCAAATTACTTAAAATTTGGACTTTAACCTGATTGCTTGGCCTGACCCTAAAATAAGCTTGTTACTTGTGAGATAATGTATCTTCAAATGGGTTCTGCCTGCAGCTGTCTTGAAGTACTGTTTGAAGGGCTGTCTTCAAAAGCAGCCCCAAATTTAGTGTCTTGTAGTGATCTAAACTGAAGGTTAGCAGAGCATGAGGCATAGCTATTCTTAAAAATGTCACAGCTGGTACGCTAACTTCAGCTGGCAATAGGAGGTGTTTTGTTTATTGGTAAGTTTTGTTTTAAACGCAGATGTCACATGGGCATTCAGAGGAAAAACTAGATATAAATGCATTCTGAAACTATAAACTGCATCTTAAGAAGATATACACACACTCACATGCACTCTCACAGTTCAAATGTATAGTTTTTTAGACTAAATTAATCGTTTATTCTTTTCCATGATATAAGTCTGTCCTTTCTCCCCAATCTTGTGGCCAACATGACTATATGCTGAGTTGCATGGAACTTTATTAGCTCCCCACCAAAGTGGTATCTATTTATCTATTCACATTTGCATGCTTTTCAACTGTTAGCTTGGCAAGAGCTGGGGTAACATCACTCAGTGCTCAGATCTTGAACAGCTTTCCAGCTTCCCAGCTCAGCATCTTTAACCACTGAGCCATTTACTGTCCCATTTACTGGCATATTTTACAGCATTTATTGAGAGTGACTTGATTTCAAGGTAGCCTTTTTGTATGCTGTTTCCAAGCATCTTCGTGTACGTTGCACCCACATAAAACAATAACATTATTCTCAATGATGCTGGATGTCACAGATGGCAATAATACAAAACCAAAAAAGCATGTGTGTTAACAATTAGTTCTGTACATGTGTTATAAAGAACTTACTGATGAACAAGTGAATTTTTTGTTCAAAATTTGTGCTCCAAAAGCTTCAGATTCATAAGAAAGAAGAAGACAAAACTCTAAGGATGCATTTATATATCATGACCAGCCAAAGAGTCACTTTTGTATTTTAATTTGTGGTAAAATATAATGTAAGCAATTTGATGAATAGTATCAATTATCAATAAGCATTAGCATATGCAGCATCTAGATAAGAATGGCTGCCATTTCTTGAAATGTAGGTGGTAAAACCATTATCTCCTTAAACCCAGTCTCTTATCAGTAGGGATATTTCTGTAACTTGCTCTTTGTAGTTTGTTGCTGATTGGAGTAGTGAGGCTTCCAGGAACTCACATTCAAAAATTTGTTCCAGTTCTATTGTTCAGCATAGACAGTTGTGAAATACTTAAAAGGAAAAACTGAGAGCCTTTTCCAGATAGGCTCACTTTTATCACAGTGGAAAAGCCAGTTTGCTTCTTGAGCAGGAAAGGTCATACACAGGCCATGGACTACAGGCAATTCTCCCTTATCCATCTTTGGAATATGCAGGGGTGAATTCATAGGGTTTTTATTTTATTATTTATTTATTTTATTACTATCTTTCTGGTAATTACAGGAGCCCATTACTGGAAATGAGCCGTATGTATAGTGATTCTTAAAAATTTGTCAACCCTTCTGAATGTTCAATGTTTCTGCATAAATATGATCTGTTGTCCATATAAGCCCTAAAACTAAATAAAGAGAATGTAAACATTATACTTGTGCATTTTCTATCCATATGTCTTCTTGGTAAAGATACAAGAGTGGTTTACCATTGCTCCCTCCTAGGAGCACCCACCACCAATACCACTACCACAGCATGGCAGGGGATTGGGAAAGTTGTATACCTAGTACATATTTTAAAACAATTTATTTAGCATCTAAGCTATTTTCAGATAAACCTATTTTTTTTCTTGTCATCAGGGTCAAGAGTATTGAGACTGGTTTTTAGGAGAGACTGAAAGATGGCTATCACTGTAATTATTTTTCTGCCTTTTGTAGGTGATCTTAGTCTAGACCTTAGCCAACAGGCTATGCTTGACCTAGGAGAAGAAATTTATCTGGAAGGAACAAATTACCAGCCATATTACAGCAAGAACATAGCTCTTTTCTGCTCCACTAACAAGATATTTGGACCTTATATAGTAGCAGTGGTCTTGCTCTTCCAGTAAAACAGGTCATACTGCTGCAGGAATAGACAACTTTCCTAGAACAAGTAGAACTGGAACAGAGTTTTTCTTGATGTGTTGTCTCAAGTTACTAACATACCACCGCAATTCCAAGACTCTGAATGGTTTAATGGTTCTGCCATTAAAACTAGCAGAACAGCACAAGACAATTCCTATCAACAACAGCAAGCCAGGTTGTCATCATTCTTCAAAAGCATAGCTTAAATAAAATGGTTTGGTTGCATTTGAGTAAGGCTAATAATGAAGAAACTGGATAAGCCTCTGGGAACATGCCTACAGCATCAGGACAACTATCACACTAGTAGAACTAACAAACACACTCATTAGAGTTTGAAGAAACATTTCCTATGTAATAAATACTAAATAAAAATATGAATCAGGGCTATTTGCTTACATTGTAATGCATCTTTTTAAAGAACAATTCAGGAAAACAACTTTAATACCAAACAGCCTAATAATAAACAGGATAAATATACAACTTAATATCTCCCATCTGTTCATAAGGCTGTCTTAGGTTTCTGAAATATTTTTGTTCCTGGTATCCCCTCAGCAACTTCCTCTCTTCTATTTTAAGGGATAGTTAATACTCAAATAAAATTCTGGGTATCTGTTCTATTTAGCTCATCTTTATTTTTGGACTGTAAAAGGATATCTAGTGAGTATAGGTTCTTGTCTTCCTATCTTCATAGAGTAGCAAATAAACTCTATGATGAAGTCAAGTAATCTCTCTTACTGAGAGTATTTTGGAAATTCTCTTCTTGTATGTTTAGTTAGCATAGAGACTCCAATTCAAAAAGATAATGGCCTCCCTTGACAATCTCCATACATTTGATTAAGAAGGTCATCTTGAAATTCTGCATGCTGATAGCCAGAAATATAATATTCTAGTATGAAAGCACTTGATTCCCTCTACTTTCAACTGAGGCTGATAAGCAAGATGACATACTTGGAAATTAACTCATGTGAGGCATTTATTACTAATCTCTTTTGACATGGAAAGAGTGATGCAAGTGGTAATCCATGAAGAAGGAGGCTGCAATATTTGCTACATGTTCATTTACAAACCTAGAAATAGATTTATATCTCTGTTTTAATACAGCTTCTCCATCGCTGATTGGGACACTGGATGCACTGAAGTGCTGAAGAATATGGAAGGCTTATTAACTTTTCTCAAGCACTCTCTTAGCTCTGTGGAGTTCATTGGGAGTTAAATTTTATAAATAACTATTTATATCAGGTTTCCTGTCAGGATTATGGCACCCTTCCTGCAGGAAACTCTACTTGTAGATATTGATGTTCCAGGACTTTTCTGAATGTCTCAGAGTTATGTGATTCTTATTTAATTGCAGATCATTACAGTTTATAATAATAATAATAATAATAATGATGATGATGATAATGATAATAGTGATAATAGTGATAGTAATAATAATAATAGTAGTACAAAAGAAAGCCTGGACAGATTTATCTTGAAAGTGATATGTTGGCTTTGCTATACATTAATAATATGTATAATATTGTCTGTGTAATTATTATTTTTTTGTTATTGTAATTTTTACAACAAGGCTGAATTGGCTCATCACAAGTTTAATTGTTTCACATATTTTATTCATAACTAGAAGCTAGGAACCAAAACATTTTTAAAGCAGCATGTTCAGTCTGGTTTTGTTTCTGAATCTGAAAATAAAAGTTAGGAAAGGAACTGGAAAAAAGAACTTGCAAATAATAAGTTAGCTTCAGATTGTGCTTGTTTTTGTTTTTTAATTAAAGGCTTTTCATTAGTAAATAATACTTCATATCACTGTAGAAACATTTATTCCAGAGCTTTACAAAGCAAATGTGAGTCTAATTTTAAGATGAAGCTTCATGAAGTAATCAAGTTAGGTCACTTAAGTTTGTCAGACTATTAGACATTTTTTTTTATCTTTCTTTCCTCTGATAAATAAAGCTGGAAGGGTTCCAAAGCTAAGAATGAAACTGAAGGTGATTTCAGGAGATGTGAGATTGTTTTCTTCATCTGGGCAGCTGCGTGCATATATTTTATCCTTTTATTTGTTTCATTAAAATATTTGATACTCTCTGTTTCAAGACAAAAGGATCTTACTAAGAAGGTTATATGAATGTTTTGAAATAGCAAAAGGAATAATAAATCAAAATGCATGCAACTCCAAATCATCTAATTAGCAGCAGAAATTAAAAACTTTGGCACACAAACTAATTATATGAACTGAAAGCAAAGATTTTCAAGATCTACCCAAGATAGATGCAGGAAAAGCCGCACATATTTCTGCAGAAACAGAAAGTTCCAAAGAAGAGAAATCAATATCAAAGTCCTATATATTTGCAATATGATGGGCTTGATCCTATGTAGGCAACAACAAAGATTCTAAACCTGTCATATTATATTCATGTTTCTTGCCCTTCAAACAATATACTCTAAAAGTTGATAAATGAATAAATATTTGTTTACTTACATATAAGGAAAATAAGTGGTACAACAACTGCATCTCAGTTGTTTCAGTTTGTATCCTCTATTGAACCTTAATATAGTGCCCTAGTTGAGATATGATCAGGGTTTATATAATGTATCAAGTTATTAAAATCACATCTGCTTCCTTTACTTCCAATATCAGTTGCTTAAATAGTTTATTGATTTATTTAAATTGTTTTATATAAGATTTTTCCCAACTTGCAAACCAAACATATTAAAGCAATACATGACAGAACAATAACATAAATATAACATCTATGCTACCAGAGGAAAAAAAATAAAAATATTTTCACTGGTTATCTAAATGAGAAAAATGATTATTTACAGTACAAATTTCATGGTAAAGTTATTGTTATGAAAAAACCAATCTCTTGCTTAATCTATGTTCAGTTTTATGAATAATTCAAACATACAATTAAATCAATGAGCAGAAAATATTACAGTTAATTCTTATTTCCTAACAAGAATATTTCTATTCAGTATAATAGTAAAGACATACTATATTCTTCCAAGATATTTCATCTCAGCCACCAATCCAAACCCTGACATTTGATACTTGGTATATAGCAATAGCACTTAGACTTATATACCATTTCACAGTGCTTTACAGCCCTCTCTAAGCACTTTACAGAGTCAGCATATTGCCCTGAACAATCTGGGTCCTCATTTTACTGATCTTGGAAGGATGGAAGCTGACTCAACCTTGAACCGCTGAGACTCGAACTGCCAAACTGCTGGCAGCTAGGAATCAGCAGAATTAGCCTGCAATACTGCATTTTAACCATTGCATCACTCAAGTATCCTGAGGCCACATTCTAGTTTACCATGGCTGATTTCAGTCCTATTGGGTGCTCATCACTTGAATTTTCTTATAGCTGTAATATGATTCAAATGAAAGTTGGCTTTTGTGAATATAGTGGGGCACTTTTGTAATACCTTGCCTATGCACATTTTCCAAATATTCATTTTATCATATTACAGTTGATAAATTGTCAAAATATTTTTGTGATAATACATCATAATATTCCAGTCGTTTAGGGAAGAATGAAGGAGGTAATAAATATCATCTACAGAAGATTGAAGATGAATCCAGTCAGGATTCAATTTTGGTTATGGAACAAACCTAACATTGATTCTTCTACTGGTGAATATATGATGAGTTAGAACAGTCAGCAGCATCTGATACCATCAACAATGGTGTCTTCCTGGATTGTCTGCCAGAATTAGGAATGGGCAGCATTGTTTTATAATAGTTCTACTCCTTCCTGAATAAATGGTCCCTGCCAACTATCATGAGAGAAAAAGCAATAAAGCCTATACTGGCTTCAGTGTGGGATCCCTCAATGTTTAACATCTACATTCAAATGTTGGCATATTGGGGAGAGTTATTTTCAATATATTGGTGGTACTCAGCTTTACATAACCATTTCAAGCCAGTTATATAAACCTGAGTAACTTCAAAAGATTTCTGAGTTCAATTCAACTGCTGATTTAATCTAATAACCCTTTAACAGCTTAGCTTTTAGTTCTCTGGTAGGCTCAAATTTATGGAACATCTTATCCCCAGGGGTGAAACATGGGCTCTTCTAGAAGGCTGTTAAAACAATTAAGTTCACAATTTGGCAATACAGGATGGATGAGTAGCCATTTTTTACATATTTAGAAGTAAACATGTTGTTTTCATTTTGGAGCTGAATTGATGAAAAGAGATGGGTTTGTTATTGTAGGTGTTTCTATGATATTAATGATTTTTACTACTGTAAATCACCTTTTATTCTATGAAATAGGCAGTGTATAAACTTTATAATAAATAAAATCCAGTTATGTTGAAATAAATTGAGATTTGGAAAACTCAATGAAGCATCATTTTATCATATGATTTTTTCAAACCCACGTAGCCAAAACATCATTTTCAGCCTAGTCCGAAGGCTACATGAATCAATAATTTTCATGCAAAGATTAAAAATTAAAGTTGAAAATATTAAACATGTAATATGGATAGGCAAATGAAGTATTTCATATTCAAATTTCATATTTCCTTGTTAATGCAAGAAATAGATGTGTGGAAAGCAACTTTATCTATAGCCATGACATGCAACAAATCCATTGTTCTTTATACTGAAAAGCTATTTTGTGAAACAGTTATGTCACAACATGTTATAATTGATTTCCAGAGAAAATGTATTAATTACAACATGTTGTGACATGGAGTGTTTGATTAAAATGTTCATAATCTTTGTTCCCATGTGATTCCTATTTGGTTTCCATTTAAATTTGAGTTTATTTTGTAATATCAAAATTTGTTTAAAGTTAAAACAAAGAGGGAAGGCCTGGTATTGTAAACTGGCAATGATATACTGAAAGTATTTGATAAAGTTTTCATTTCTCCCCCACCCCCAATTGATGGCTATTCCCTATCTCCACTTTCTTTTAACACAGAACAGCAGCAACAACTGCTATTGGCCAGCAGAACTTATAATTATTTCTTTGGATAAATAATATATTTATTAAAATATCTCAGAAATGCTTTTCAAATGCCTTTAGCATTTGTTGTTATCTATCTATCTGTCTGCCTATCTGTCTGTCTGTCTGTCCGTCCGTCCATCCATCCATCCATCCATCCATCCATCCATCCATCCATCCATCCATCCAGTGAAAGTATGGATGTGTGGATGACATTTGTGTGTGTGTTTTCATGTCTATTATTTAAGGACTTCTATGATGACTTGACAACTTTCAACCAAACTTTTTGGAGTACTTACATTTTTATTTGTTATTGTTAAATTAGTGGTTG